CCTGTAGTGCCAGCTACTTAGGAGGCTAAGGAGGGAGGATCACTTGAACCCAGAAATTCCAGATTAGCCTGGGCAACAAAGGGAGACTGACCCCCATCTCTACAATCAATCAATCAATCAGTCAATAAAATTAGCTAGGCATAGTAGTACACGCCTGTGGTCCTAGGTACTGAAGAAGGCGGAGGTGGGAGGAGAGGATTGCTTGAGCCTGGGAGGTGGAAGCTGCAGTGAGCTGTGATTGCATCACTGCAGTCCAGCCTGGGTGACACTGTGGGACTCTGTCTCAACCAACCAACCAAACAAACAAACCAAATAAAGAGTGCTATGCCAAGAAAACTACCTGCCCAGGAGTCGAGAAATCTAGCATCACATCCTAGCGAAACACAAGTTCAGCTGCTGTCTGAGCCTCAGTTTCCTGATCTGCAACATCATATACTGATCTCCAAGGATCCCTCCAGCTGTGTATGCCAGGAATGTGGGACTTGAAGTGCAAGAGAGATCAAAGATGGGAAAGGCAGCCAGTGTCTGCTTGCTCCTTTCATGGGAAATTAAGAGTTTTAAGAAAGCAAAACTAATGCTGTAAAAATGAGGGCTTACCCAGGAGTGGGAGGCTATGAGCTATGACTGTACCATGGCACTTCAGCCCGGATGACAGACGGAGACACTGACTCTTAAAAAAAGTTGTTGGGGGAGGGGGGAGGCAGGGACAAGATGCTGTAGCTCACACCTATAATCCGAGCACTTTGGGAGGCCAAGGTAGGAGGTCAGGAGTGTGACCACCCTGGGCAGCATAGCAAGACCTCATCTCTACAAAAATAAATGAATGAATAAAAACATACATACATACACACATACATAAATAGCAGGGTGTAGTGGTGCATGCCTGTAGTCCCAGCTCCTTAGGAGGCTGAGGTGGGGGGATTGCTTGAGCTCAGGAGTTCAAGGCTGCAGTGAGCCATGCTCGCAGAACCACACTCCAGCCTGGGCAATAGAGCAAGACCCTGTCTCTAAAAAACAAAACACAAAAACAACATAAATGAACCTTATATATTTTTGTGGCATTAAACCCAGTAGAGATTTCAACTAGTCTCTAATTATTGATTTTTCTCCCTGATTTAAAACCACATATACTGCAGAAGTTTACAAAACAGGAAAATGTAATGATGAAAATTAAAAGAACCCATTGTCCTATCATCTAGAGTTATAGTCTAGTAATATTTAGGTGTAATTAACTACTAGTTTTCTATGCATAAACATACTATGTTCTCCTCCTCCTCGACACTGAAAATTTTCTCTGTATTTGTATCCTGATTTTTTCAATGAGAGCTTCATCTAAGATTCTTTCATTTTTCTCTTTGCACCAGTTTTTTTCCACCAAGTTCCAAAGATTCTTCACAGATTTTTACAACTGTTAAATATTCTATCGCAAGAATATGTTGTATCTTAGTCATTCTTTTAGTGGGCATTTTTAGCTACTGTAAATAATGCTGATAAAAAGTATTAGGATGTTTAATTTTACATGTAAATCTTGCATCTTTTTTTTTTTGGCACAAATTACCAGTTATAGAATTATTCACTAGTCAAAGACGTATAAACATTTTGAAGACTCTTACATATGTTGTCAAATACGTATCTTAATACATCTGCTTCTCTTCCTTCTGGAGAGGTTGTAACAATGTACTTTCCCTCTTTCACAGTGTAGTAACGAAAACATCATAGTGATACTAACCCTGACAATCTCCTATAATTGAAAAGAAATCTACTTTTGACTGCCTATAGTTCATTTATTAAAACATCATCGTAGGGGGAGTAAGAGTAATTAAAATTCCAGTAGTTTTCTGTGTGCTTACATGTGCTGGGCACTGTGCCAGATGCTTTTTGTTCACTGCTGTCAAACACCACTTGCTCAGAGTATAGGTGGCACCTCCTGTTGCCCTGTCCCTTGAGGCTGTGATGTGTTTGAGGACACATCTGGTGTGTCCGCACAGCTGGTTGCTGTTTGGTCAGGGTTAGTACCTAGGTCTCTTAACTTCAAGTTGGGCACGTATTCATTTTACTCTACCTCGTCTGCCTCAGTTGGCCTAGAATAGTCTTGTTATATAAATTCTGGTTATGAGAGGCTCTAAAATGTATTCACAGCTTACCAATTTTTTAAAGTTCTGGTGAACTCCAAAGCCAGTAATCCTTCTGGAATCCTGTGTGATCAGAAGATATCTGAGCTCCTGCTTCTTGCCGGATGTGAACCTCCTTGAACCAAAGGTGAGACCAGCAGGGGAAGAAAGGGACTAAACTGCTCATCCTCTCTTCCCTAAATTTGTTACCGTAGTTTGTCTGTCAAGGTTTAACTTAGGAGGCTAAAGATGGAGGATCACTTGAGAGTCCAGAAGTTAGAAATCAGCCTGGGCAACATAGTGAGAACCTTGCCTGAAAAAAAAAAAAGTTTCAGAAAGTGCGTGCTGGACCTACAGGAGAAATACTATTTGGATGATAAGCACCTTCAATCCAATACAAACCATGGTTGGAACTTAATCTCGATTGTGTGTGTGTGTGTGTGTGTGTGTGCGCGCGCGCGCGTGTGTGTGTGTGTATGTGTTTGGCAAGTTTTAGGAGTTAGGAGGCTTTATACTTTTATACTTGATCTTTTGCACAGTACACTTTGAAAACTGGCTTTTGAATCTTTAGACACTTAAAACAGGTATTTATAGTAATTTAATGAGGACAATCTTTCGATGTCCCAAACAAAAAATTTAAACTGTGTACATTAAACCTTAACTATGCATCTTTTTTTTTTTTTGAGATGGAGTTTCACACTTGTTGCCCAGGCTGGAGTGCACTGGCAAATGATCTCGGCTCACTGCAACCTCCACCTCCCGGAATGAAGTGATTCTCCTGCCTCAGCCCCCCAAGCAGCTGGGATTATGGGCGCACACCACCATGCCCAGATAATTTTTATATTTTTAGTAGAGATGGGGTTTCATCATGTTAGCCAGGCTGGTCTTGAACTCCTGGCCTCAGGCAATCCACCCTCCTCAGTCTCCCAAAGTGCTGGGATTACAGGCGTGAGCCACAGCACCTGCCTTAACCATGCATCTTAATTTTTGTACTTACTATCCAATGTGCTAACAGGACAGAAAAAATGATTTAAGGCTGTTATAGTTTCCCTTTATTTAAGAGAGGCCTGAGGTTCTTAGCTCAGGAGGGATCCATAGCATATCTTAAGCCATGCCAGTATTTTTCAGGACACGCTAGGGTGGACTTGGCAACTAGCGTAACATTGCACAGCTGTGCCTAACTTTTACCCCTGAGTGCCAGTGCGCTTATTTCCTGTGCTAGGATTACTTGTAATTTGGTCTCGGGAAGTTTTCTGGGTGGGTGCGCTGCACAAATTCCCTTGTTATTGTTATGAGAATGCAGTGACCTCACTTGGATCCAGGACTCTGCCAGCATTTAAAATCCTGCTCTTACGAAAGGTGAAACTCTTGCCTAAATTTAAGTATCACAGCTTGATCCCATTACAATGAGATAGAAGCTCGTCTGGGCCCGGGAGCAGGCCAGCAATAGAAGTTTTAAAATCAGAACTCACCCCGCTGGGTCTAACCCTATTCCTGGCCACCGCGTACCCTTCAGGAGCCTGGAAATCCTCTTTTGGCAGCAGAGGAGGAGAGTGCTTGGAAATGCTGCGAGGAAAACGACTTTTAGAGGGGAATAGTGGGGAGCGAAGCAAGAAGCAGCCACCGGACACACTTGGCGTGGAACTGGGGCTGTGGGGTGGGTAGAGGGACAGTGAGCAGAACTGGTAGCTCAGAATAGAAGATACAAAAGAAAGTGCCAACTAGTGAAAAAAACTGCAAAAGGACGGGGGGATGGGGGGAGGGCGACTAAGGAACAGTGTAGAAAAATAGCAATTAGTACAGCTAAAAATAAAGACCAATTTAGAGACAAAGCCAGATCCACAAGGAGAAAAATAAAACTCGCCAGAAAGACAATTTCTTGCAAACCAAATGTTCAAGAAAATGGGGGCTAATGGCACCCCCGCTGGAGCTACTCTGCAGAAGAAATGAAATAATAGGAGACCGTGGACCGCGCAGCGCCCAGCAGGTGACGCCCTGGGGGCCCGAGTGGTCCGGCTTATGGAGTCCGAAGGTCCTGCCGGAGGCTGTGCCCACGTGTCCCCAAAGTTACAGAAGTGTCCCGAGCGCGCGATGTGCGGGACAGGGCACCGCCCCGGGCTGGAACCGGGTGGTGGTGGTGGTGGTGGTGGTGGTGGTGGGGTTCCTGCAGAAATCTCTCAGGTCTCCCAGAGTCCTGGCTCGCGCGCAGCACTGCCGGGGACAGGGCGCCCACCCGCGGCGGCTCGGCTAGCTCAGCGCACAGGCCCTGGGTACGCCCCACCCTCATTCGCTGGGCTGGAAGGCGCAGCGCTCACGAAGTCGGGGAGCAGCCAGGCCCCGGCAGGCGGGGATCCTGGGGTCGAGAGGCAAAGGCCACGGGCCGGGCCACGCTCGGACTCTGCAGAACCGCGAGGCCTCGGCTTCCCGGCCTGTGACCAGGGAAAGGACCCCGCCTGCCATCCCCGAAGTGCCGCTGAGAGCCCCGAAGCGCGGTGAGCCAGCGGCGCTGTGCCCGTTTCTCCCGGGCTGCAGAAGGCGGGAGACCGCGATGGGCGCGGGAGCTCGAAGCTGGGCGGGGCGGGGGCTGCACCTCCGGCGAGGGCCAGCGACCCCGGGACGCGCTAACCGCCTCTGCTGGGCTACTAAGGTCCGGGCGGCCTGGGCTCCCTCTGGGCCATTGAGCCCCATCCCGGGCGCAGGGCAGACTCCGGGCCATCAGGGGTCACCCGGGGTCGCCCTGCTCCGCTCGGGCACCCCGGGGCGGAACCGCGAGCCCCCACCAGCGGGGGCGGGCAGGGCGCTCGGAGCGCGCCACGCGGCGTCTGACTGGGAGGAGGGCGGCGGGCGGGGGCCGAGCGGTCTGGGGCGGTGCTGAGCCCGCTCCTCCTCCTCGCCCTCCTCCTCCTCGCCTTCCTCCCGCTCAGCCGCCGCGCCGCCGGGCTGCTCCGGCTTCCTCCCTGGGCGCCCGCTGCGATGTTCAACCGCGCAGTGAGCCGGCTGAGCAGGAAGCGGCCGCCGTCAGGTAAGCGGCTCCGGGGACCCGCGGGCTGGGGGTCGCGGCGCCGTGTCGCCTGCCCGGCCTCCTGCCCTCCCTCCTGGGCTCGGGCGCGGCTCGGCTGTACCTCCCAGATGGGAGCCCCGGCCGACCGCCCCACTTCTCTCCTCTCTGTCCCGCACCTCCGCGGTCCCAGCCGCGACGGGAGCGCAGAGCTCCTCCGGGCGCCCCGGGGAGGAAGTTTGGCTGAAAGGGGAACAGCAGCAGTTTTCTTTTTAGTGATAGTCTGGGAGAAAAAGGAGCCCCCAAACATCCCCAAACTTTGGAGGCGGCACTGGCTCCAGATTCCGAAAGCAGAACGGCTCTCGTGCTTCCCCCTCAGTGGCACTCTCCGCCTCCGCTGCGGGCGTGGGTGGAAGGATGCCCGAACGCCCGGGGAGCACGGCTGGATCTGGGCATCTGACTGGGCGACAGGGCCTGGGACGCCGGGGGCTTCGCTTCTGCCTCGAGGAGCCGAAAGGTGGGGTCTCGAGGGTGGCGGAAACCCAAGATGGGGAAGGGCACCTCTGCCAGCGAAGTTCGGACGTTACAAAGGATTCGCCTTTGCTGTCACTTCGGGCCAGCCTGAGCCACGATCTGGGGCAACTTGATAGGACAAAGGCCCCACGGTGAAGGTGAAGTCATGCCCTTGATTCCGGTCCTCCTACCCTTTTTGCTCATCACAATAGCTACGAGCTGTGCAGGGCTTCGGGTGCGCCAAGGGCCTTGTCCACCGCGTTCGGTGAACTCTCCCTTCATCCCTAGGACAACCCGGTGAGCAAGGAGGGAGCGGAAGCCAGGCACTGTTAGGTGACTTGCCCCATTCACAGCCAGCAGGTGATGGGGAGGCCTTCAGACCCAGTTTCGCCTGACGCTGGAGTTCAGAGGCTTTCCCGGGCTTCCTACGCCAAGATTCACTTCTGCTTGGTGCTCAGAGTTTATACGCATTGGTGCATTTCCTTTCTGCTCCTGATATTTTATAAGGGACATTGTGTTTTAGAGACTGGGACCAGACTGGCTGGATCCAAATCTCACCTTCACCATATTCACCAGCCGTGGGACCTCTCTGCAGAATGAGGGTCTGCGAAATGGGCATAACAGTAGCTACCCTCCTTTTCAGCACCTAAGTGGAGCCTGTCTTCCATCCATCAAATTTTGCAAATAATTGCATTTAATATGTAGGATTTCATAGGGTTGTTGTAATTATCTTACATTTTTGCCCGTATGTACTAAGTGCTCCATTAGCGTTAGTGGTCATATAAACCTTTTTGTGTTGCATGTGAGTCAAATAATTCCCTTGTGGGTGTTAATGTTAACCATGCACAGGCCTGTGGAGCCTGCTCAGAGCCTGGACTCGAATTAAACTCTTGGTTCTAACCTTGACTCTGTCATTCAGCAACACTGGGCAAATTACTTGATGTCTCTGGGACTCGGTTTCAATGATGTGCTGGAGCTGGCTAGAACTGGCTAAAAAGCCAGTTGCTAAATATTCAAGAAGGTTGGGAACTGGTTGTTAAACCATAGGTAGCTTGAAAGTAGTTATGATGGGATAGTTACATCATGAAAATCAACAAATGGTAAAAATGAAGGCTTCCCCTTGACTCAGGAGAGCTGATGTACCGGCACACCTCTGAATCACTTTCTCCATCTACAAAGCGGGTTTCATAGAGTTATGGGATTAAATACACAAAACCATATGAAACCCCTAGTAAAATGCGTGGCACATAATAGATGTTTAATAATTATTAGCTTTTCTCCCTTTTGCCTGTTATAAATAGAGCTGCTATGAATAGCCCTGTACATGTTACCTATTACTTTGACAAACAGAACCACTGACTCCTGGGAGATAAATGGATTTGGGGTGATTTTGCATGTAGCCAGGTTGTACCCCAAAAAGGCTGAAGGCAGTTTTAGGGAATAAATTTTTTCAGGGCAACAAATTTTAAGCCTTATAAAATGTGGTTACATCACTGATAAAAAGGTCAGTCTCAGGCTGACCGCAGTGGCTCACACCTGTGATGCCAGCATTTTGGGAGACTGAGGCAGGAGAATTGCTTGAGCTCAGGAGTTCCAATAGAACTGGAAAACATGACGAAACCCCATCTCTACAAAATATACAAAAATTAGCCAGGCATGATGGCGCATGCCTGTAGTTCCAGCTCCTTAGAAGGCTGAGGAGGATGACTTGAGCCTGGGAGGTTGAGGCTGCAGTGAGCTTAGATCGTGCTGCTGCAATCCAGCCTGGGTGACAGAGTGAGACCCTGTCTCAAAACAAACAAACAAAGGAAAGATAGAAAGGTCAGCCACTAAACATCATGGTTGGGTACTGGATGCCTCAACTCCAACAGCCTGATTTGCTTTGGAATTGTAGGTGTAAGGTCTGCCCCCATTATGGGAAATAACCTGAGTTCTTGCCTGATTGATTGGTCATCACCACCCAGCCATCGAAAAGAAGCCTAAAGAAAAAGGGGTTATTTTAGCCAGGCACAGTGGCTCATGCCTGTAACCCTAGCACTTTGGGAGGCTGACGCAGGCTGATCACCTGAGGTTAGTAGAGATGGGGTTTCACTGTATTGGCCAGGCTGGTCTCAAACTCCTGACCTCAGGATCCGCTCACCTTGGCCTCCCAAAGTGCTGGGATTACAGGCATGAGCTGCCGCCCCAACCTGAATTATTTTTCTTAAAGAGGCTCCTCAAATTCTCTAAACTTCAGGCCCCATGAAAGCCGGAGCTGCCCCTGCAGGACCTCTGAGTCAGAGCTGGCTGTGGCCCTGCCTCCCCCTGCACCTTCTGTTTTACACCTTTCCTACCTTTCAGCAAAATCACACTGGAGACATTGTCTTTCCAGAGGATTTTGAGTTCCTAACCCTCCTTCCAAGGTTCAGAGTGGGGTTTCCTCATTCTCCTTCCAGAGGTTTCTCAAAGTGTGTTCTGCCAGTTGTGTGGGTTCAGGAGAGGCTTGATAAAGTGCAGCTTCTCAGGCCTCGCCGAGGCCCACTGATTCTTCTTGGGGACTGTAGATGGGGCAGGAGGGTAGGCTGCGTCTTCAACAAGCACTCTGGGGAATTCTCAGGCCAGTGAAATGTGAGGATCCCCCAAAGGGATTCTGTCCACTCACCCTGCTTAGTTATCAACCTTGAATTGTTAATAACTGGGATATGCCCATCTGAGATGGGAAGCCAAAGCCACCCCACTCCCCACCCCTGCAGCTGCACCCAGGGGTGACCTCTTAGGGGAATTCCCACCCTGCCAGGCAGGCCTCAGCCGTCCCCTCGGGCCTGTCATACAGGATCCCATTAAACCCTTGGGAACAGTTTGAAGTTTATGGCTGGGCTTGTTTTATTTAAAGATGACAGTTTGCATAGCGATTTAATGTCTTTGTTTTAACAACCCCGAAGCAGGGTAGCCTTGGCCACTGGGGAAACTTTCTCTGCAGAACGTCACCTGCCCAGGGCTGCAGGGACAGAGGGGTCAGGCCGAGGGGCATTGTTTTCTACAGGTGTGATCAGCGGTGAGCCAGCTGAGCCTCTGGGACCTGTACCTACTCTGGCCACCACCAAGTGCAGCCCATAGCCTGGAGGGTGTGAGGTGCTCACTGTGTTTTATCTGCCTTGGCTGATGTGTATTTGATCTGATGTCTCCTTTCTTCATGGTTGGAAATGTAGATGCCCAGCCAGATGCTTGGCATGGCCACTTCCTAGGGCTTCCTGGGTGAACGGAGTCACTTCCCTCCCTGGGTTGAGTGAGTCCCCGGACGCTGGGCTCTGGGAACCTGCTGCTTAAACTGCACTAAATTTATGCCCCTGAATTTCTTCTGCTTCCCCAAGATAGCTCTCCGCTGCAGCAGCCCTGGGGGTGGCGGCTGGAGCAGAGGGGGCCCCCCTGGCAGGCAGCAGTAGTGGTCCCTTGATAAGAGCTGTCGGGCGGCATCCGCTGGAATGAGACAGCCCTTCGCAGACTTGTGGGGACAAATATCCCTTCCAGGCCGGGCGCGGTGGCTCAAGCCTGTAATCCCAGCACTTTGGGAGGCCGAGGCAGGTGGATCACGAGGTCAAGAGATGGAGACCATCCTGGTCAACATGGTGAAACCCCGTCTCTACTAAAAATACAAAAAATTAGCTGGGCATGGTGGCGCGTGCCTGTGATCCCAGCGACTCAGGAGGCTGAGGCAGGAGAATTGCCTGAACCTGGGAGGCGGAGGTTGCGGTGAGCCGAGATCGCGCCATTGCACTCCAGCCTGGGTAACAAGAGCGAAACTCCGTCTCAAAAAAAAAAAAAAAAAAAATATCCCTTCCAAGCAAGTTCCCATCTGTCACGGGCCCTGCTAAGCACCCTCAGGTCTGCCTTGCTGCCCTGCTGCCTGGTGGGGGGCCCCTTATCTGACTGAGTCCTTTCCAGTCCCATTTTTCCTGCTCCCTACTCTACCCCTGAAGGGACTGGACAATACCCTCCTGTGCCTTTGCTCCCGCACGTGTTCTTTGTCCTGCCCCAAAGCCTGGGTCTCCCTGCTCCAGCAGCCCCACCCTGATAGGCCCCGCTGCCTCCCACACTCTGCACTTGACAAAGCAGCTTGCCTGAGCAGGAGGGAACCATTTCGTTTCTCCCTGGAGAGCTGCAGAGGCCACTGAGGGGCAGGGACTTGTCCGGAGCCACCCACTTCAGAAGGGGCAGACCAGAGAACTCAAGTCTTGGACCTAAGTCCACTGCTACCTAAACACAACAGCCATTTAGAGTCTTTGCTAAAATGTGTTTAGAGAATGCATGTGGAGCTGATAACTTTCCTTCCTCCCTCCCTCCCTTTCTCCCATCCTTCTTTTCTCTGGTCAGGACATTAGAAACAAACAAAGCCATCATCAAACACCTTTATCATTTCACACAGAAAAGGACATTTTAACACACCCAATAGTAGGAAAGATATCATCTCAGGTAGAATCTTCTAGAGGTTGTCACTCCTGGGGAGAGACGCCGGGCACCTGAGGGACAGCAGT